ACATTTGTTGGACTTAGCATCAAGTTTACTTCTTTCAGCAGAGTCTATATGTACATAAGAAATACAATCAAACACTCTTAAGTATGAAAGTTTTATTTCTTTCTTGCTCCAAACTTCCTCTAGTATTCCGCCATCCAAGGGAACTGAGGGCCCACGATTGATCAGGTAAGTTGTAGTGTTGATAGCTTCAGCCCATAGCAATTTGGGCAAGCCGGCGTGTATCCTCATGCTTCTGGCACGTTCATTCAAAGTTATGTTCATGCGCTCTGCTATGCCATTTTGTTGCGATGTCATGGGAACTGTTCTCTCCATCTTGATCCCATTGTTTGCGCAAAATTCTCTGAATCTACTATTTTTGTACTATCCTCCATTATCAGACCTCAACCGCTTAACTTTCAAACCATTCTCGTTTTCCACCATGACCTTCCATTTTCTGAATGTATCAAAGACTTCTGATTTCTTCTTCAGAAAATAAACCCACACCTTCCTTGTAGAATCATCGATGAAGGTGACATAATATAATGAGCCTGCAAGAGATGGAACTGGAGATAGTCCCCCCATACATCAGTATGAACCAACACTAACTTTTCAGCCTTGGATGTCTTACAAATCTTTGCAAAACTGACTTTCTTTTGTTTGCCAAAGATACAATCCCCGCATAGTTCGACATCTACATTATTTAGATTCGGCAACTTCCCTTTTGACAAAAGTGTCTTCATCCCTTTTTAGCTCATATGACCAAGCCTTTGGTGCCATAGGTTTGATTTTCCATCAGCATCTGCTGCAACAATGATATTCTCTAAGTTTGAGGTTACATAGAGAGTACCAGTCTTCTTACCACGAGCAATGACGAGTGCTCATTTGGTAATCTTCCATTCACAGCCTGAAAAGGTTGTGTTATATCCTTCTCCATCAAGTTGTCCTACAGAAATCAAATTTCTTTTGAGGCCAAGAATATGTCTCACTCCTTTCAGCGTCCAGGTGGTTTGGTTTGGCAGCTTTAATCGAATGTCTCCTTTTTCGAAGATCTTCAAGGTTTCATCATCAGCTAGATGAACCTTCCCAAAATCACCACTGACATAGTTCTCCATGATTTCTTGGCATGGGGTGGAGTGGAAAGATGCCCCTGAATCCAAGATCTATGATTCAATCAGACTGTTGATGCTTAAAATCATGTCATCACCTGTCTCCTCTGTCATGTTGGCTTTCTGTGCACCGGTATCTTTCTTCAGTGCTCTGCAATCTCTTTTAAAGTGACCATTCTTGCCATAATTATAACATGTAAAATCTTTCTTTCCCGTTCTTGATTTTCCTCTTCTGGATTTGGATCTGCCACAATTTGAATTTCTCTCTGAAGTTCTCCCTCTGGACTCTGTGTGTGCAAGGCTGAGGAAGTTGATGCTTTACCTGATTCTCTCCGTCGAATTTCTTCGCTCAGTACCAAATCCCAAACATCGTCGAATTTCAATTTACTATTTCCCAACGAGCTGCTAACTGCTATAACAGTAGCATTCCAACTGTCTAGTAAAGATGATAAGAGAATTAAAGCTCGAACTTCATTATCAAATTCAATTTCCACATAACTCAACTGTGTTGTGATTGTGTTGAGCTCATTTAGGTGTTGAGCCACTGATGCCCCTTCCGCCATCCGCAAATTAAATAATCGCCTCATCAAGTGCACTTTGTTTGAGGCCGATGGCTTCTCATACATACTGGAGAGAGTCGCCATAAGACCCGCTGTGGTCTTTTCCTTTGCTATGTTGAAAGCAACATTGCGGGACAACGTCAGTCGGATAACTCCGAGGGCTTGTCTGTCGAGAAGAGCCCAGTCTTCATTCTACATGCCCTCTGGTTACTTTCCTGAGAGAGGTTGATATAGATTTTTATGATACAGAAAATCATCAATCTGCATCTTCTAAAAATCAAAGTCCGCACCATCGAACTTCTCAATTTTCACATTCCCTTCGTCTGCAGCCATCACTCCCACTTGAATCTGGCTTCATTGGATCGTTTCTGAAATTTCTGCGAACCGCCGTGTATTAGAACACCTCCGTAGACAAATTCGTATCGCCGACAAAATTTTTACTATTCATAAAATTCACTATTCATATGAATAGTAATAAATAGTAACCTCGTAAAAAGTTGACAAAATTCACAACCAAAAGCTATGATTACCAATTATTGAGAAATAAACCAAGTACGAGTAATTTCCCTATAACCAGATTAGTGAAAATGCGAAATAAAAGCGAAAAAATAATACCCGAAATTGATAACAGAATTTAACCAATTTTACTTACGTCTCCAGACTGTTGCAAATCTTTTATTAAGAGAAAAAATTTACAGGTGTTTACAAAACACTCACTACTCATAAAAAAGCTCTCTAGTAATGGGAGAAAGAAATGATTTGAGATTTTAGGATGATTTTGAAGCTAAATGGGCTAGGGTATTTATAATTGAGTCTTAGAGACTAATCTTGTAAATACCCTAAAAATGCAATGACTAAAATTGCAATATTCCCATTTTCATTTCAACAATAACTGCCCATTTATTGCATCGAATTTCTAGAATTTCGGTGGCCTTATTTTACTAAAAAATACAGTCCCTTTTTTTGACTTTTCTCCAACAAGGGTTCATAAGAAATTTTGTATCAAAGAACAAATATGTTGAATATCCATTTTACAAATTCATTTAAGGGGAAAACCACGAAAATAGTTTTACCCCAATGAAACATGAGATCTTTACATAATTCAATGGCAATTAACATGGGAGACGTTAAGCAACTTATGAGGAAAGGATTACCATCAAAGTTTGAGTTTCGAGATGTGCTTCGATTTCTAAATAAACTTGTGTGTGTCAGGGATGACAGCGACTAATACGGATACGGTTAGACTTTCTAAATTTTCTTATATTTGGAGGATCCTTTGAGGATATGTTCGGTATGTGTACTTCGAATTTGGATTTAGGCCAGAGGGGATCATATCAAATAGAAACGAAGCTTTGTTCAGATTCTCGATGTGTAACTAAAAGAAATGTTGTAAGTAGCCAATCTCGGAGAGCTGAAAAAAAAACGGTTACTCGTTTCTTTTACCAAGTTTAACTCTTACATGGAAGTTATGGAAACTTTGAAGTTAGTTCCCAGTTTGTACCTTTTCTCTCACTTGGGGTCCCAGAAGAGATATTACCAAGCAACCATCAATCGGAACCGACATCAACGCCCTTTTTATTCAGAAAATCCTTGGCTTCGGCTATGTCCTATAAACATACCTCAACATTCGGACTTCTCAAAAGATGTTTAGAAGAAAATGTCCCAACCCCAGTAGATATTACCATACTCCACTTAAAATCATAATGGAAAAACGAGAGGAGAGGAAACGGAAAGGGGAAGAAGTACGCGAATAAAACGAGTAGAGAAGTAAAGTACCAGCTGCAGCAGCAGCAACGCTTCTTGAGGGCAAGTAGGGAATCGCATTAGACCAACTCCAACCATTAATAAACCATAGCATCCAAGTGTGATACAATAAAATAGATAGGCAGCTGGAAAAAAAATATCGTAACAAGTGGCAATGCATTAGAATAAGTCGGCATAAATAAAACAGAACATCGAAGCAAAGAAAGAAACTCACCAACCAAGTATGGATTCGTGGTATTATGGATGCCTGCAAGAGTCCGCTCCAAAGCGCAGAGAGAATTTTTAGAACATGCTTCATTGGAGTGGCAATGCAAATTAGCAACTTGAACCTTTAAACAGATACAGAAAAATTGTGCAGTTGAAAACGGACCGAACAAGCAATGAGAAGCTAAACTGTGAAAAGAAGCAGACAAAATCACGAAGAAAGTTCTTGAGATAAACAGAAACAATAATAAGTTTGTCTACTCTTCATTATCAGTTGGGAAAGAAAAAACGAACAACACAAGTAGAATAACATGCTTAAGAAATAAAGAAAGGTCTTGCCGAAATCTTTAACCGATTGTACTAACAAGTGCCCTAAGCACACTCATCAAAGTTACCATACAGCTCCTAAATGCGTTGGAAATGACAAGTTATCAACGAAGACATTCCATATAAGATTATGAGTTATGACTATAAAATAGTACTCCATAAAAACTAACTTGAAAGAGTTCCTTAGGGGCACTTGTTAGCAATAGCAAACCCATCTTTAATATATCTAGTTTACTCTAATCTAACCACAAAATCAGTAGTAACAAAGTTTTGATTGTCCCATTGAAGAATTAGTAGCTTCATCTTTCAAAGCTAAAGAGAACAAAAAAGAAGAAAAATGTTATTAGACATGGCCATTCCAGAAACAATTTTCACATCAAGGAACAGAGACATGGAAAGGAAAACAAATTAACTCAAAGCTCTACCTCAAAACGTCCACAACATCAGCTGGGATCAGCTACCTCTCAAATCTATGTTAGTAAGCTAAACACCTAAAACCAATTTAAATGATGGAAAATAAACGCTCACAAGAAAAGAAAAGCAACCCAAACAGATCGAAACCCTGCCATATAGCTAATAAAAAGTTTTTTTTTCAAAGTACAATTTGCCTTTTGCATCGAAGGAACCCAAAGCCTATGGCGAGATTCCCATTTAAAAAGATCATTTGGAAGTTTCAATTTACAATTTCCGTTTCCTCGATCAATTAAAAAATCAGCTAGAATAACGAGTACACCGACTGGTTAAGGAATGCACCTTTGATGAAAGAGGGGAAGAGTCAATTGGTTCGGCAGCCGAAGAAAAAAGAAAGAAAATCGAACAGAAAATCAAGACAGCAGGCAGAGAGATGTATTTTCAACTGGTTTGGTATGCACAACCATGAAACTTGGGTCTTTTGGGCTCTAATTTGATTTTGAAGAAAGCAAAAGAATAAAGAAACCAAACCCGGGCTTTTACTAAACAGAAAGGCGCCAAAGTTGGATTTTGGATTTTTTAAGCTTTGGGATTTATTAGAAAAAGCACACGGTGGTTAATTATGTAAACTGGTACTGGAGCGGACAAACCTTCGTGCAAACTCCGATACCCTTCTCATTATGTGAACAAGTCATTCGATCGATCAATAATTCAATCGAAACATAAATTGACCTATGGGGACGACGGGTGGGAGCGACATGAAGACGGGATTTGCCAAGCTGCAAGGTGAAGACTTCGAATACTACATGCAAACCTACTCCATAATGCTCGGCCGCAACTCCAAGAAATCCACCGTCGACGTCGACTTATCGGGCCTCGGAGGCGGTATGAACATTTCCCGCTACCACGCCCGCATATTCTACAACTTCACCCGACGCCGTTTCACGCTCAAAATCCTCGGCAAAAACGGCTATCTCGTCGAAGGCATCCTCCACCTCTCTGGTACCACTCCCGTCAAGCTCGATTCACAAGACCTCCTCCAGATCGGCGACAAGTAGTTTTACTTTCTTCTCCCCGTGAGGAGTATTCTCGGTGGAGCCCTTGCGTCGAGGCACCATGTTTCGATATACCAGACGACGGGTGCTGGGTCAGCATCTGGAGGCGTACCTACGGTATCATGGCGGTCAACGAAGTCAACCCAGTCATTGTAAGCAATTAACGAGCTAGTTATGTCATCCATCACACCTGTTAACGTCGGTTAGAGTTTTAGAGATAGATTTGAAAAATGGGTTTTTAGATGAAATTTTGATATGGATGAGTTTTTGAAGTTTAAATAAGATTTTTGACTTGTCAAGAGGTTAATTAAGGAATATAGAGTGTTAGAATTGATTAATAACATGTTTGGAATTTGAGTATGATTCTTAGTTTTAAGAATTTGAATGAAATATTGGAAATAATAAAGTGTTGAAATGATAGAAGTTAGTTAAAATGGTTGTAGTTAAGTTTAGTAGTATGAAATGAACTTTGTATGAGAAAATTTAGTGAAGGGCTGATGATTTTCGGGCTTGAACAGTAAAATTTACAGATTTTGCATAGGGAACCGATACCCCTGGGGGGAATTGATTCCCCCTAAAGGAAAAATTGAAATTGGTTCATTAAATTTGTTTAAGTTGTTAGAGGTTAATTGCAAGGTTTAGGATTTTGATAATTGTCTCGAAAATTATGTTCATGTAGATATCGAGCCTAAACGAGTTCCGGAACAAGGGACGAGTAAGACCGATCGAGGGAAAGGCAAAGAAATTTAGGTGAGTGCATATGCATATCATGATTATATAAATACATTCAGGTCTAGACTTGTGATAAGTCTAGATTTTATATCTTGATACATGAATAATAATATGACTTCTAAGTGTACATTACTATGATCATATGTTATGTGTGTTATATGCATTGTTTTACCTGATTTATGTATTACATGAAAATGTGAGAACAATTATGCAACATGGAGTTATATGATTACATGAAAAGATGATATGAGCTATGTGATAAAGGTAAGAAGTTATATGTCTACACGATATAAACTACGTGAAATGTAAAAGCCCATGTTATGTAGATGAGAACTATAGGTATAGTTGGCATGCCAAGAGTAGAGGGTTTACGTGGTCTTTCGGGACAAAATTCTACGTGGTCCTTCGGGACGTATATGTATTCTTTGGAGCATGTATGATGTCTTTTGAGACATGTACTTGATCATTGGCATATGTATATGATTCTTAAGGAATTTCTATGTGGTCCTTAGGGACATATTATATGGCACTACGGTGCAATTCTACGTGGCACTTCGGTGCATCTTTATACGGTCCTTCGGGACAAATTCTACGTGGCACTTCGATGCAAATTTATATGAGCTGTGGTGACAGCATAGTGCACAACCTCACAATACTCACATACCTTGGGTTTTCAGTATTGTATCATGGGCTATTGAATCTATTGAACTTACGAAATTTATTATATGAATTTATGATGATTAAATTGAGAAGATTATTGGTAAGGTACATTGTTATGTAGCTTACATTGATTGCATAGATGTTTTCGTTACATTTCATTTATTTATAGCATCGTTGTTATATTTCATTGTTATTATTATTATGCCTCACTAAGTCTATGACTTAGCGTGTAAGCGATTTACACGTAGGTACGAAGAACCAAGATTAGCAGAAATAGAAGTGGCAAAAACAACAACACTGTTAGAAGATCAGATCAGAAGTAATTACTGAAGTATGTATTTTGATTGTGTATAATATGTTGGTATGTAAGAAATATAATAAGTTGTTAGTACTAACGCTCTGATCGACTTTTCTAATATTTTGAACACATTTATGTAAATGTAAATGTATAGTAATGAACGGTTAAATTTTTACGAGTTTTATGTACGTTTTACGGAAGTACTGTAGCAGTACTGTAGCAGGGGAATCGATTCCCTGTAGTAGGGTAACGATTCCCTATTTGCATTCTGGAAAATTTGTGTAATCGATATTGTAGCATGTTACTGTAGCAGTTACTATTCACAGTACAGTAGTAGATTGTTGTTCATGCGTATTTTAATGTACACAAATACGTTTTTGCCTAAAATTTTATAATAAACATAATTCAATAATTTATTATAGTACTTTCTTAAAATAAGTTCAAATGTTTTGTTATTTTGTAAGGAAAAATGTTTTAAAAAGGCAATGTGACATCTCGGACTCGTATTCAGATCGGGTACGGGTTGGGGTGTTACATTTAATGGTATCAGAGCCAAGGTTTAGTCGATTCTTGGCATAAATCGAAGTCTAGAGTGTCGTATAATATATACATGCCAACAAATAGTGAAAACTTCTGATCTGATAGAATAATAAGTATGTTGTTTTGCTAATAGAATTATATGGTTGTAGTTTTATAGATGTCCGGACAAGGTAGTTCTAAGAATGAAGTGGGAGATGATAGACCCGCTGAAAGCAGTAATTCACATGCCCTGGCCAGGCATAGTGAAGAACAGACACCTTCTGGAGTGCCTGTAGCTGATCAAGATGTGTTCTTTAGAACATTAGATGTAGTATTAACGCGTTTCCAACCTCCTGCTCCATCAACTCCCAGAGTAAATGTAGCAAAGGAGTTGAGAGGATTAGGAGCTCCCGAATTTAAGGGAGAAGTCGAGGAAGGTCCGATTGTAGCGGATCTCTGGCTGAATGATTTGAAAATCATGTTAGATAGTCTCCATTGTTCTGACATGGAGAAGTTGGATGGAACTGTGTCTTTACTTAGAGGACAAGCTAGAATATGGTGGACAAATGTCACCATGAGGATGTCAAGTGATCAAGTAACTTGGTCTCTGTTCTTGGAAGAGTTTAAACACAAGTATATTGGAGATCAATTCATCAGACAAATGAAGCAGGAGTTTATGAATTTGAAGGAGATTATCGCTCCGTATACGAATATGAATGTGAATTTAATAAGATGAGTCGGTTTGCTTCAGAGCTTGTGACTACAGAAAAAGATGCTTGTGAATGGTTTGTGGAGGGCTTGCGCCCTAGATTGAAAGAGATGCTGATAGTACTGAACTTGTCCTCATTCCAAGAGGTGATTAATCGTGCTAAAGCTCTTGAAAGAGCTCAAAATGAGAGATTTGGGGACTCAAAAGTTCAAACATCTAAGAGGATATGTGTTTTTTCAAGCATATCACTACCAAAAAGAGGAAAAGATTCAAAATTCCAACCTCAAGCTAGATCAGAATCAATTGCATCTTCTGCTAGAGGAGCAAGTCAGATGAGAGCTCGACAGACACAATCAATGGGATCTGGTATTGGGAGATCCACTCCAGGTCAAGCAAATGTCAGCATTGTGGGAAAAATCATTTTGGAACATGTCGAATGGCTTCTAGAGTCTGTTTTCGATGCGGTGAAGCCGGACATTTCATTCGGGATTGCCCATTAATGGTTAGTAAGTCTGCACCACCTGAAAGAAATGTTTCTGCCTCACAAAGAGGACGAGGAAGGAATCAATCTGAATCCTCTACACAGCCTGAAATTCGCTTCACTGCACGAGTATACAATTTAAAAACAAGTGACGACCGTGATGATCCCGATATTATAGCAGGTACTTTCCAGCTGTATGATAAATTAGTATTGGTGTTGATTGATCCGGGTTCCAATTATTCTTATATTACCAGTAAATTAGTAAATAAATTGAGAATTCCATTAGAGGCTACGAGTAATGAGGTGATAGTAACTAACCTTTAGGGCATAGTGCTCGGGTAAACAAGGTTTGTAAGGGGTGTCCTCTAAAGATTCAGGGAATTGAGTTTCCTGCTAATCTGATGGAACTACCTTTTGAGGAATTCGAAGTGATTCTGGGAATGGATTGGTTGTTTCGTTATTATGGAAATGTTGATTGTAGATTGAAAAAGGTAAACCTGAAGAGTCCAGAAGGGATACAAGTAAATGTGATTAGTGAAAGAATTAATCCTTTAACAAATGTAATATCGGTAATGGCAGCAAAGAAGTTGATGCTACAAGGATGTCAAGGTTTTCTTGCAAATGTAGTAGATAAAGAGTTAAAGAGAAAGGGTTATATGAGGTTCCGATAGTCGAAGAATTCCTGATGTGTTCCTTGCTGAGTTACCAGATTACCTCCAGATAGAGAGGTAGAGTTTCAAATTGAAGTTATGCCGGGAACAACTCCTATTGCAATGGCACCTTATCGTATGGCTCCGAAAGAATTGCAAGAATTAAATAAGCAATTGCAAGAGTTGCTAGAAAAGAGATTTATTAGACCAAGTGTCTCACTATGGGGAGCTTCGGTTTTATTTGTCAAAAAGAAAGATGGTTCAATGCGTCTTTGCATTGATTATAGGCAACTCAATAAAGTGACCATCAAGAATAAGTATCCTCTTCCCCGAATTGATGATTTATTTGATCAGTTAAAGGGAGCTTCAGTGTTCTCGAAAATTGATTTACGTTCTGGTTATCATCAATTAAAGATTCAAGATAAGGATATTCCAAAGACAACATTTAGAACGAGATATGGTCACTATGAGTTTATCGTGATGCCATTTGGAGTTACGAATGCACCAGCTACTTTCATGGACCTCATGAATAGGATTTTTCAGCCCTATTTGGATCAGTTTGTTGTTGTCTTTATTGATGACATATTGGTGTACTCGAAATCCCAAGAAGAGCATGGCACACATCTGAGGATCGTTTTGCAAATTCTAAGAGAAAAGAAACTTTATGCCAAACTCTCCAAATGTGAATTCTGGTTGAAGGAAGTGACTTTTCTTGGACATGTGATTTATGCAGAAGGAATTCGAGTGGTTCCCCAAAAGATTAAAGCTATTTTAGAATGGGAAGTTCCAAAGAATGTATCAGAAGTCTGGAGTTTTTTGGGGTTAGCTGGTTATTACCGAAGATTCGTTAAAAACTTTTCGATAATAGAATTACCCCTAACCAAGTTATTGAGGAAAAAGGTAAAATTTGCTTGGACTCAAGAATGTCAGGAAAGTTTTGAAAGACTAAAGAAGATTTTGACAGAAGCTCCTGTTTTGGTTCAACCTGAATCCGGTAAGAATTTGTGGTATATA